ACGAGAGACGAGAACGAGTAGAACCTCCGACAGCATCCCATGGTATCTATATGATGGTCTTCCCCAAAGCTCAAACGTCGCTTGACAATTGAAAAATTCGGTTCTAATAAGAGGTTCAGACTCTTAGCGTTTCTGATGAAACATCAGCAAAATAACTCAGGTCCACACCCTAGTTGGACGAACTCACACAGCCTTTAGTAACGGTATAGCGTCCTCATTAGTGCAACAGAAGTGATAATGGTCAATATGGGTACTGGATGGTGAACAGTTAATGCCGTATTTAAAATGTGGTTCTCCTCTTTGCCTCTCTGGTTTCTCGTTGTAGGCAAGCAGCACCATAAATCCACAAGGCGTGCAATATAAATACGCCTGGAAGGACAGAAGTTGATGCCCTTGAGCAGGCTTGCAAGCGCCTTTGCCATCGAAGGTACCCCTAGCGCCCTATCGAGCCGCAACATGCCGACCTGGACGCCCCCCACACCGGCCCGCCCAGAATTGGCGGTACAGTCACGTTGACACTTGCACTCTTATCTTTTCACTTATAAAGTGCGATTGATATGAAGCATTGTTACAGTCCTCTCATTGCGGAGAGGGCGGCTGTGCAACGCGGTCCAAATGGGCGTTCGGCCTCGTTGCTCTACCAATGGCGATCGGGTAAAGATCGATTTAGGGAGGGAGCAACCAATGATGGAAACGCCGCAGGTGCGAGCCGCTGATTGCGACCCGACAATTGCGGTGATGTAAAGTGTATATGGATGTGTAAATACATATGTGTAGCGCTGTCTATCAAAGCGGCTGTTTGCACGATGTCAAGGGAAAGTCGTCCGAAAATACTCGTGAAATGCCGTACAGAACAAAATTTTCGCAGGGATGTGGCCGTTAAACTTCGCCTTTTCTCTTCGTTTTCCCATTGCATAGCGCGCCTAAAGCCTACTATTTCTGAGAAGTACCAAATTATCCTGCCTTATGCCTTTGAGCAACCAAGCCTCTCTACTCACAGTATCACCTTATGTGAGGCGTTATAGACGGATTCTCGTGCTTTTCCTCCACAAGTAAGTCATATACAACCTAGAAATACGCATTTGGATCCACTGCCCTTGCAAAGGCGGGATATATCTTTGGAACGTGACTTCTATGAATATTACACCTTATAATTCAGTATGTTATATTGTGCCTCACGAGGTTTTTAGGTGGAACTATTTATTTAGCGGCCTGACGTTTCGACTAATCGTCTTCTTCAGAGGCCTAAAAGTTTCTAGATTAAGGGATGCGCAGTACTCTGCCAAGCGCCTAATCCACCCCAGAATTCCGACGACATAGTGAAACTCAACCGAGAATCTCACACAACAGAACGAACACCTAGCCAGCATGAGGCGCGGTAATCTTACGACAGCGCTTGGGAAGCATAAAGCGGAGGTGCATAACGGCGACAACTTTGCGATAAAGTGCACAATATTGGCGCAGGAGACGGGGATTGATGGATTTCTGTCAGAAATCCTCGTATGAACAACCGAGACGAGCGTCCGTCAATTTCCAATGACCTCCTGTCGTTCATTCCGTATTGCGAGCTATAAAGTCACCAGTGCTACGTGGGTCTCGATAGGTATAACTAGACGAGTGTATGTATACTCGAAATCCCTGAGATCGGGTAGGCGGAGCATTCGAACACTGTAAGGAACTGGTTACTAGTGGAATATTCCAGTCTGGGACAACTGTCATCTTGTTCTGTGTTGGACAGAGACACGACAACGATTGTGTCGAGATGAAAATATCGCATCAGAAGCGTAGACGCCTTAAGGATAAGTTGAAACATGCGGCCACGCCTACCCGATCTCAGGGATCTCGAGTGTAGTAAGTCTCATCCGCTACTGGTTGACTTATGGAATAGCGGATTATTCCGCGTCTACGGTGGAACAAAGGTGAGCGCCTTCGTGTTCTGTTGTGTGAGATTCTCGGTTGAGTTTCACTATGTCATCGGAAATGCTGGGGTGGATTAGGCGCTTGGCGGGGTAGTGCACATCTCTTAAAGGCAATTCCCGCGACCACACTTCATAGGTAATACAGTTCAAAAATAGAATTGCCCTGTGATTGTTGACTTATTGAAGAGAAGGAACCACGAAAAAGCGCCCGCAATAAGACCCTCTTTATTTCAATTGATCATGATCACCGGACGAGCGTAAGGTGGTCAAGATCGATTGTGGATTGCGAAAGGCGGCGATACACTGATAAGAGACGAGAGAGGCCAGAAAACGACGGGCGAGAGAGCGCAATGGCAGTCTCACAACGACACGGTCACTGGAGGCCGGCATGGGCCTATCGGGCGCCAATGGGCCTAAAACCTGAGCGCGCTGCGTTTTGCTTGCTGTTTTTCAACTTTTAAAAGCGGTATAGCCTCTGACGTTGCCTGCTTGACCATCGTGCACGGTTATGAGAACCTAGCCTTAGTTTATCGCGGAACGTGCCTTTAATCTCGAAACACTTTTAGGCCTCTGAAGAAGACGATTAGTCGAAACGTCAGGCCGTTGAATAAATAGTTCCACCTAAAAACCTCGTGAGGCACAATATAACATACTGAATTATTGAAAACTAACATGCCGAGGTTACAAGAAGAGAGAAGCTGGAGAATATTACACCTTATGATCTCGTTAGTGAAAGAATAATCTCAACATCAACATCGATTCTGAGAAAAATGAAGAGAAGAACTGAAGATTAGTGGACCTTGGCGGCGATTCTGATGGAGTGTAACCGAGGCAGAATAATGCAGTCGATGTGAGAAGGCTCGTCCCCATTCAGGAATCTGGTGCCAGTCGTTTGGAGGTACTCATCTATCCTCTGCAGCTCTCCAAGAAGCGCCTGTAACAGATTAGCATTTTAATAAGGTATGGAATTCTAGAAGGGATAACTTCACTCACTTTTGGCTCTTTCTCTACTCCCTTTATGAAGAAGGCAAACACCCTGAAGAGGTCAGCGGTAACATCTTCTGCTTCGGATGATCTATTGCGAGGAGGACCGTATCTATCGAGCTCTTCGATTATGTCGTCTTCAACTGAGAAGGCTGTGTCGTCGTCAATCTGGAGTGCCGGAGTTCGTCGCAGACCCAGCCTGAGCAATAACAATTAGGATTCCCTTATAAAAACAATTTTGCAGATTAACTGTGAACATACGTCTTTGAATTCTTGTGGCGGACGAGCCTCATTGACGGTCTTGACGTCAAACTTCAATTGAGGGTCAAGTTCAGACTTCCACAGCATCAACATGAAAAGTTGGTGTGCAGCTGGATCTCCACCACACCTCAGGCCGTCGGAACCAGCTCGAACCCACAATGTGAGTCGAGACATGGCTTCTCTACGGTACGGGTTAAAAATAGCTTGTGGTCATTCCGATCAAAAGGATGAGCACGAAGCAAAAAAAAATAGAATTTAGAGAGGTAATTGCGAGATCATGGATTTCTAATACCCTGATTCGCCGACACTCAGGAAAAAAATCACCATTGAGAATGGTGACCCGAGGGGATCGCAGTCCTTGAAATAGGTTGTGATAAGAATACTGAATCATAATTCCTTAAGAAAATTCCTATAGAAAAAGTTATTTTTTAGCGCTCCATACTGTAAATAGAAGTTTCCCACCAAGCAAGGAATGTTTGGTTACACTTGCCCTCGTTTCCAAAAAAAAACAGGAAATGAAAATTTGTTTCTGCCTTTTCCCTGACAAAGAAATGGCTAGGGAAGAAAGGCAGCAAGCGAGTTATTAAAAATAGAAACATCCGACATTGACCAGTACTCCGTCAGAGTACGCCATACACTTGACTTCCATTCATGGTTCCAGTGGCAATTAAACAACTTACAAAATATACTGTGGGCCTGCTAATGACTGAAGGAGAACGAGTGCTGTAGTATCTTTCCTCTTTCGGTTGCATTCCAGTCCAGTCTCTACCACCTCTCCTTGGCAGGGCTCATGGGGCAGCCCCACAGTCCTAATTACAATCACATCAACAACTCGCAACAACAGCTTCGGGCCTGGATTCTTTCTGCGGTAATTTATGGAGCCCCTCAGTCCACAATGGATAGATAACCTTCCTGGTCGCATCTTGTCATCAACGAAACTATAACGCTCCCTGAGCTGTTTCCGCGCCGTACAACCTGCATGTGCCCTGAATGGGGGGTGCTACCTTCGCAACGTGAAATTGATTACGATGACGTCGGAAGAGAATGGGATCAGAGCACGTCCTGCTGTTTGGGAAGTTGCTTTGCAAAATAAGGTCACCTCATAATTTACTCCTCGACGACCCTCCTTCCCCCATCCTACCTTCGATCTTCCTTGATTATCCCATCTTCCCACCACTTCCTCCTCTTCCCCCACCCAAAAAAAACGAGGGGAGAGAGAAAAGTGGCAGCGAAACGAAAAAATGAAAAATCAATTGGCAAAAAAGTTTCTTAGACCCATCCTCCCTCCTTCCAGCGACCATATGCGATCCCCTCATGGGGGATCCTCAACGTACTACGTGCCCTGAATGGGACTGACGAATCGCAACTGCCCGGCGAGGTCATAATCGCTACATGGTGATGCAATAGATGCTCGTCTCTTTCTGTTGACTGCAGCCATCGCGCTTTAATTTACGACATCATGACTACGATAAGGGAATGAAACTGCGAG